TACTAAGACACGCCTAGTTTCAAACATACATATAACAAGGTGTATGCGTACGTATACTGAAATGCATTATTCATGTGCTTTTTGTATGAGGCGTGATGTCGTTTTGCCGGGAAAATTACCCGCTATCTTGCTTGAGTATGGTTTTCACAAGTTTGGAGAGAATATGTCTCACTAATTTTTGAATTGGCTCAAACACTGGCATCAATAGGCTGCAGAAAATCATATCAGCAGCTGTCGCTCAGATTTCAAGCGAAATTGCCCATCAATCAAGGCCTGAATTTTACATCATCGACGGTAAGGCAAGACTCTGTCTCAGGTCCCACTTGCACGCCCCCAGCATGCTCAGGAGTGCAGGTGCTACTGCCATTGGAAGTACTACAGCAAGTACGGCAAGGCCGAGTGTAAGCTAGTAATAAGTAAACTAGTGAGAGAGGTTAGAAATAATGGGGAAAGAATATTAATAGGGAAAGAACTTGTCACTGTACACACACTCAAAGTATCAGACTAGTCTGATTTCGCAGTAAATGCTTCAATATTTTCCATGCTTAGGATAGACAATGATAGAGTGATGTGTATTTTCCCAGTGTAGGATGTTTAATCGCTTTTTGAAGGCATAGGTCATTGCAGGGTCATTGCTCTTCTTATCACAGAAGTCCGTGCACTTTACACATGTTATAGACGGAAGGAAGGGAAAATTCGGGAAAAATACTAACAACTCTCCAAGGTGTTCGAGACACACATCAAATGAAAGCTTATTTCATCATCTTTCATTTTCTTTTCAATGTTTGGGGGGTCTTGAATTTTAGGAGAAATTTCCATCTGAAGATGATCACCCCTGAAAATAGTCCTGAAGCCCATTGCCATTTTGAAAAACGATGCCTCCATTGCAAAATAGAGCGCTATTAGGGTCCAAATAACATCCAAATTACACAGAACTGCAAGCTCCTAGTCCTGTGCACGGCTTCCACCCATATTTTTTACAAACCCTCAAGTTCATGGCCGAGAGCATACTCAAATACTGAAGATTTTGAGGGCATGCAAATCGTGATTTGGCCGGCGTAGGCAATTTCGGACCGATTTACTGGTCTGCACCCTTATGCACTTCGCAGCCATCTTGAATATAGCGCCACCATGTGACTTACCAAAGACATTAGAGGGGAATAAGCGTGACACGTCATGATTTGTTTACATGAGCGCTTTCATATTAAGTAGGCTAGTTCTGTAGACGTTCCCCACTTTATCTAAACCAAGCCATTGAGTCTCAGGTCTTTTAACACATTGCTATGGATCCAATGAGATCCTAATTATTTAAACGGCGCAATGACCATGGGAGACTTTTGAGACGTAGACGCTGGTGCATGGGGGCAGCGCACCGGTCATTTTTCCAATTTGTATTACTTGAGCATGTGCGCGTATATTTTAGCATGCGTGCGTAGTCCTGACCGTTCACACATGATTATGTTGGACACGGTTGTTGAACTGCAGATCAAGCTCTTCAGATTGCTTTTGGATAATTGCTTTCATAATATTGCATGGGATAGACGTCTGGCTAATTGACCTGTTGTTCCCCATTGACTTTTAGATCCTTTCATAAAGATGGAAACTACCCTGACTGTCTTCCATTTGATCGTTATTTAAGTCAATTTTCCGTCATCTAGGGAATTTCAGTAGATTATGAACTGGGGTTCGGCCATTTCTTCGGCACCCAGATTCAAGAAGCAGGGATTGATGACGTCTAGACCAGGTGATTTGTCAAGCTTCATACTTTTCATCTGTTCCTTGACATCATCGATGGCCAACTCAAGGTCGAGTAGATCTACTTTCCCATTCCTTGGTTCTATAGATCTGGAGCATCTCCATCTGGTTATTTGGTAAATATTATACAGATTCAAAGAACCTATTTAAGACTTTTGCAGCCAACTCCTCTGTCTCTGTTAACTCTTTGTCCACTCCTTCCAGTCAGGATTTTCAAATTATTAGTGTTTGTTGAGCTCTTGCATAGATGAACAGTTGCTTAGGCCTTTCCTTGAATCTTTTATTAACTTTGCTTCGTAGGCAGCCGATCCAAGCTTTTTTCCCCACTATCTTCTTTGTTTCTTAAAGTAGCAGTTTGTATTAAACGTTGAGTCTTCCTATATACTTCATAGGCCTGTAGCCTGTGTTTTTTTCTTTACCAATTTCTACACATTGCTTTCATCCATAGTGGCTTACATGTAAATCTGTTCTTAAAGATTTCTTGATGGAACAAATTCTTGACTGTGTTATGATGCTACTCTTTACAAAATACCGTGCTCGTTCACAATCTGATGTGTCTAGCTTGAAATCCCAGGGTACATTAAAAAGTATGTTTTAATTGCTGCTTAATCACCTGTGCTGTGGCTCAGTTCAGTCTTTCTCGGTTTGAGCAAATTGTTTGAAAATAGCAAATATCTGTTGATTGAAGTAAGCTGCCATGGTCACTTCTGACCACCGCTGCTGCATGCGTGACAGTGTCGGTGAAGTTATCGTTGCTGAATACCAACGGTAGGTCAAGTAGTAATGATCTTTTGTTTACCCCTCTATTTCTTGTGACATTCCTCATGTTGAACCAGCAGCAGATCTTGTGTTGTGACCATGAATACCTGCGGTTCAGACTGCAGAGGTGATACCGGCATTGATTGTTATGGTCAGTGTATTCCGTGATAGTTAAAGTCTCCAAGGACAAACTTGTGAGTAATATCAGAGATGGATTCCATAATCTTTAGCTGTTTCCTCAAAGGTTAATTGTTAGGCTGGTACTGTTTTGGGCTGCGCTTCTGTACACTAACCCCTAGCAGATTCCCCTTCTCACCAAGCTTTACCTCACATCATATCGATGTTTCCATCTCTACCTCCTCCAATTTGTAACGTAACTAGTGCTGTATCAAGGGATTTGTGAATGTACAAGAGAAAGAGTTTAATTCCTATACCAAGGGGCCGATGTACTTACAGGTTGGCTGTTTCTAGAATGGCATTGCTGTTCTGTTATAAGTACATGCCGTGCCGAATAAATGCTTCAGTACTGTAGCCAAGCTTCGTGTGTTTTTGATAGTTTTCATCAAATTTGTCTTTTCAGTTACATAATAAAAGAAATCAGAGAATAAAACAATGCCTCATCACCGACATTTTTAACTTTTCGGACAAGAAGAACCTGTTTCTTTCACTTGGTCGCAGTTATGTCAGAATCTCTACAAGAGGGATGACAATTCAAGGGCTCCATACCTAACAGTGCAGCGCCCTCAACAGTTTGCAAATTTTACATCCTGAGCAGAAACCTGTATGATTACAATCTGTGTACATTATCCAAACATCCTGTGACAAATTGCATTTTGCACTTTGCAGATATATCAATGGCCAATGCCATCTGCGATGAGAAGACCTGAATGAAGCAAGACTACGAAAACCAAGGCGAAATTACTTTCCAAGGACATTTCTTGTCTGCCCTATGAACATAAGTCGTGAACGTTTGGCGGTTTCTGGGATGACAGGGAAAATAATGCTGTCCAGAGATCAGTCTCCAAATAAGGTGACTGAAGAAATAACCTCGCTGTTTCAACGGGCTTTTCACCTGCCGGATGGTCGTCTATTGAGTATCTGAGGTTTGTTAACCCCTTGGTTGTTTTTAATTGTGTTTTGTGCAGGTGTAACAGCTATTAGATTTATTTTTTGTTTCAGTGAAGTAATGTACCCAGACCCATGTCAATGTGACACATTCTATTTTGGCTATCATTCTATTGAAGAAAGATGACTGCATGCATGTATGTAAGCTTTTGCATTCTTTTATGAGCATGATGAAGCCTATGTTTTTGTTTTTTTTTGAAAAACGCTGATCCTCCCAAGCGTCACTTTGCAAAGATAGACGAGGCTTACCCTCTTGTTTAAACATGGCTTGGACTGAGACTGGCCTCTTTCAAGACTGGCATCTATTTAAAACATAACATACGTTGGAGGCAATTCATCTCCTGTCAAATGTTGCTTTTACGATTTGGGTTATTAAGAAAAGCATAACCACCAACCCCCCCCCCCCCAAAAAAAAAGGAATGAAAAGGAAGTGGTTGGTACTGCTGAAACTGATGTATTATTTAATTTGCCTTGCCGTATAGTCATTTACATTGTTGAATCACGAAGTGGACTGATATAAACTGAACAAAGTTGCTATTAACAACGAATAATCTTGCTTTGCAGTTTGGTGGCTTAGGTGAAAAACAAAAATATCTGCTTCCAATTAACGTGCCCCCACCAATGACAACCCCTCCACCAGTTACACCCTTATCTAGAGCTAGCAGGATGCTGTATATAAACATTTGAAACATAACATTAGGGCTATCAAGGACAAGTATTTACAGGTCAACATGCACTTGCTGTATGTACAAGTACGTGTGTAAATATATGCAAATTAGGGGTTTTCTAGACATTCTAGATATCTTTAAAATAAAATCATAACTTAAAAACTTTAAGAGCGCCCATCCCAATTTTTATGTAGTTGTTTACTGCACACCGTATTGGACATAGGAACCTCATTAATATTCCCGAGGCTTGAAAAAAATTGATAAATATTGCGCACGCTAGTGTTACAATATTGTCAAAATTGCACGTAGCGAGGCCTATTTTTCCGATTTCAACGAAAAGCAATGAACATATATCACAACGACTCTTAATTAGCACCTACTTGGATCATTAAAGGGGAAATACATCCTGAAGGTTGCATGAAGAGACAGTCTTTCAAACTGGAGAAATTGATTTTCAATTATTTCACCCGCCAACGTGACCATGTCTGTGTCCATGTAGTTTCATTCAAAATTAAGTGTTACGTAACCTTTACAAATCGCCATTCGCAACCATATGGCTGATGTATCAGTAAATGTTTTCATTTTAATGGTTCGTATGCAAATAACCATTTACTCAATATTCACAGATTCTAGAATCTCCTGTTGCATGTGTCGGTCATAATTTTGTATTCTATTATTTTTTTACAAATAAAATCAAGTACATGTGTTATTTTCAAATTAGGTTTTTGCCCTTCACCTACCCTTTTTTTTAAAACACTATACTCAGTGTGTTATTTTTTTCCAACTTTCACTCGGGAGGTAACACACTGAGTATACAGTGTTTAAAAAACGTCGGTAAAAGGCAAAACCTAATTTGATTTATATCGCCCCGACGCAAAATTCCATCCTAAACACAGTGAGATGTATTTTCTCATATTTAGATTCGTTTGAAATGCAATTCATTGTGTAACACAAACGGGAGTTTTCAGTACATTTCCGAAATACCAAGAAATGAAGACAGAAAATCCGAATTTTCGCATTTCTTTAAAAAAAGGTAGTAGGCCATTTTATTTCCTTATTTTTCATCAGTAAAAACTTTTCTTTTTGTTTTATTTTATGTTGTACCGTTTTTATTGCGTAAAGAATGGCTATTGTGTCACTTCTAAAAGACTGTTCCATTTTCAAACGAGAACATGGCCGGTGTGTGATCAGTGACCGGCTATTCCAGCGGACACTCAGAATAGCCGGTGTGTGATCAGTGACCGGCTATACAATGCACACTCAGAATAGCCGGTGTGTGATCAGTGACCGGCTATACAATGCACACTCAGAATAGCCGGTGTGTGATCAGTAACCGGCTATTCCAGCGGACACTCAGAATAGCCGGTGTGTGATCGTTGACCGGCTATTCCAATGCACACTCAGAATAGCCGGTGTGTGATCAGTGACCGGCTATTCCAGTTGACACTCAGAATAGCCGGTATACATGTATCTATCCCAAGTGTGTGATGGGTGACAGGATATTTGGCAGGTGTGTGAAGATTAGAGACAGCAAAGACAGTGTTAAAATTCAACAACAGAAAGAAAAAAAAAGAAGTTTATTTCAAGAAAGATTTATCAAAAAGGTAACTTTGAAAAACACAACCATGTACGAATCCCCCCCCCCTAATATTATGTATATATAAACTATGACAATCAAGACTTTGACCAAAGGAGACAGAAATATATAAACTAAATCTAAACTCTTCATCAAGGTTAAGTTGTGGATGAGTTTGTCCACAAACCTTTGAAAACCAGACCAACGAGACCAGAAGGCCTGTACTGAAAAACAAAACCTTAAAAATTCAAGTTTGACCACCAATCTTTGAAAACCAGGCATGAGAAAAATGTATACGTACAGTGTCAAGGGGGATGCAAGAGAAAACCAAATGGGTTTTAACACAAACATGAGAGGTAACGTAACATATCTTTAAAAACGGTGCAACATAAAAGCTCGTGATGTACTCCTATAACAAACAGCAATTACAAATTGACCTGCATGGTCACTCCAATGTACACTCACAATAGCTTGAGTAGTCTCAATGTACTAACACCAATTACAATATGTATGTGCCATATACACATTAATTGCATGTGTCCCATGAGGAGCAATAAACATGACGAAAATGATTATATATTTATCGCAAGATACAAAAAAACGTAATTCACCATCATCCAAGTGTTTAGCTATGATATTCTCTGGCTATGATATTCTCGGGACAAATATTTTTTTTTTCATTTTGCACACAAAGGAATACAGTTTCCTTTATGCCTGGTGGTCAGCTACCCTAGTTTAAGCAAACAGATATGGTTGACACCATGATATAACCTGCATGCATCGGGATTCCAACATCGTGGATCTGTGTTTCACCAAAAGTCCAGCATTTTGTCGACGCTGTACGTGTGGAAAGTGGCATTATTGATCATGATATGGTACCTTTAAGGCATTTTTCAGTGTTATAATTACCGAAATGCTCAGTCAGCTAAAGTGGGACACCCTTGAACACAGACGTACAAGACCTAATTTACACCGTCGATCTACAAAGAAGCCCACGGCCTCGCCCCCAGCAACATCACTTATCGTTTCATTTACCACAACCAACTATATTTAGGCCAAAAACACGTCAGAGTACTGGGAAATTCATCTACAATCGCATTTTCAGCAAATAAGAACTGTTATCACAGAAGTCGTTGTACCCCAAAACACATCCTGCTTGGAATTTGCTACCCGAGGTGGCCCGTTGTGCCCCAAAGTTAGAAAACTTCAAGAATCACCTACTAGCTATTGAACTGACTGATCCACTTAAATGTACGGTATTTGAAACTAGTTTACACCGTCGACTCCTTGCATTGCGCTAACAGTACCGTGACGGGATAGCAACACCAGGCGTTTGCCCATATATATTCTGAATCCCCAAACAACATCATGCATGATGCCCTGACATGTGCGATTTGGTCCTGATCACAGTCCACGGTAATCGCAGAACGTTCCTTTGTTATAGCAGCCATCGTTGCAGCACCTGTATGTGAAAAAGGATAATGGTTGAAAATGAAATAATTAATATGTGGGGAATCAGCGAAAATCATCGAGGCGCTCCATAATAATGTTGTTATTATATGCGCCCCACACTTCTTCAGCCTCATGAAATGTTTACAGTTGCCCCAAAATGTATACATTCGGGACGTGTACACAAAACAGCTACCGCGTTTTATAGTCGGTTCGACTTTCGACTACAGACGAAAGTCTACTTAAAAAAAGTTCATAACGAAGCGCAGCGCGCGCAGCACGCGCAGCACACGTACACGTACGTACCTAAACGTTACACGAACACTTGTGGACGGCATGTTGTGAGCTGCACTGGTCTACCACCTGTCGAGATGGATGCGAATTGCAGTCTTAATAGTAACGGCACGACGTGTGACTTAGATTACGACAACTTGTGATTTGAACAACGACGTGCTTTCGATTTCAAGAGAGACAACGAATGACAAAGACTTCTTTGACAGTCACATTGACGAGTCGTTCGAGTGGTCAACCCTTCAGCAAGACTGTGATGAAGATGAGACCCCCTATTCAGATGCATCATCTTTTCTGGGTAAGACAAATTTAAATGCATTCCACTGCATTTCATTTATTGATACTGTATTATTTTGCTGCAGATATAAACAAACATTTACAATGTTGTGTTCCCTAACGTGGTGCACTTCAATGTTTGCCCCGACATTCCTTATGTAGTCATGGTAGTGTTGCCAGTACTGGTACTTCTTCCAGTGAGTGCATCCCTCCATGTTGGAGTATAGTCGTACTTTTATTAATGCTTGTTATTTAACCTCTGTGAACAATTTCGGTGACATGAAATTTAATCCGAACTTCAAAAACGATGTCGTCCAGAAATTGGGCACAAAATCGGCGGAGCGTTCCTTTATGTTGGACACTTGAATACATCTCTGTAAAGTTGATATATTCTGTTAAACAATCATTAGGGCCTACCTCTACTCATACATGTCATACCCAACTAGAAGTTTGTCAGAAAATTATTTTCTATAGTGTTTGGGGACAATTTCGAAGGGTTCACTCTGCACTTCGAAACAAATTCGGAAAATCACACCGAATAAAAAGTTAGGCCTACGCAGACAAGGAAGAAATGTTCTTTAATGCATAATTCAAAGATTCCAAACGTTACATTAGCATACGGTGAAAACGGTGACGATCTTCTATTTCGTATCATTACAGATTTTGAAGACACGCTTAAACGAGGACCTGCATATCCATGTGCGTCATCGACACCTGCAAAGAGGCCGAGACATCACATGAATGTCGGTGTTACCCCTCTGGACATTTTAAACTGCACGTGTTGTTCTGGTAACTGTCTGCAGCTTCTTTCAATAAAGGATGTAAAGATTTGCCAGGAATCTATGAAAGAGAAAAATGAAACCGAGCAAAAATCCTTCATCATTTCACAGTTGAGGGTCTTCACAAAGTCACCAACAGAACATACCCAACATTGTCCGTTCACTTCCATGATGATTCGGGGACACCGTGTTTGCAATTCTGCTTGGCGTTAAGTCTTTGGGGTGTCATTATGGCATTTCAGAGAGTGTCAGCGTTTGCTTGCAAGTGGTGTGGAGCAGATAAGGCACGGGAACATACCAGCGATTCTGAGTGTGCATTGGAATAGCCGGTCACTGATCACACACCGGCTATTCTGATTGTGCATTGGAATAGCCGGTCACTGATCACACACCGGCTATTCTGAGTGTGCATTGGAATAGCCGGTCACTGATCACACACCGGCTATTCTGATTGTGCATTGGAATAGCCGGTCACTGATCACACACTGGCTATTCTTACTGTGCATTGGAATAGCTGATCACACACCGGCTTTTCTGAGTGTCCACTGGAATAGCCGGTTACTGATCACACACCGGCTATTCTGAGTGTGCATTGGAATAGCTGGTTACTGATCACACACCGGCTATTATGTGATCGCACACCAGCCATAGCCAGACTCAGCAGTGGCAGGATTTCTTCTGAATTGGTGATATATTTTGTGTAGCATATTAATTCAGTTATTTTTTCATCCCACGCATTTCATTTTAATACTTAAATGACTACGTATCATTTTTAAAACAAAAGATGTTGACTTTTCCTTAACGATTTTTGCGAAAGGCCTTTTTCGACCATAAGGCAGGGTTAGTAATGACTAGTCTTACTTGAAGGCAAATTGTTTGTTTATGTTGTACACATAACAAGTGTTGTGTTTCCACATGCTAGATCTTTGCATTTTGTAAGAGAAATTAAAGCATTTGTTCATTCAGTCAAAATTGTGTATTAATAAACCTGCTACTGAACCAGAGCCAATTTTTGTCATATTTTAAGTACTTGCATTATTTTTGGTGTTAAAAAACGGCTGCATCAACACGTCACGGCAAATGTCGCATTTTATCAGGTCAATAAGATAGAATTTGCATGAAAAACTGATAAACTGAACTTTTTTGGAAATTTAAAATGTCTTTTTTTAAATATAATTTTAAGAAAATAGTTCTCATCCTGTTCCTATAATAATGTGTAATTTTGGCAAGACATTGTTTTAAATTGGGTTAGCTGAACATAGGTCCCAAAATTGAATGAAGTGGTTTTCTTAATTAATGATTTGTATGCAAATTAGCACTTTTTAATCATTCATAGATTCTGAAATCTTCCTGTCGCTAGTGTCGGTCACAAATATTGTGTATTTTATTATTTCTTTAAAATGAAATACCAACATTTCTTACATATTCCTTATTAAAAAGAATAGTAAAGTTGCATGACAAGAATCGCTGTTTGAAACAATAAAATACTGGCATTAAACGTCCTTGTTGGTTTTATTTCCACCCCCCCCCCCCCCCGCCCATGTCCCATGATTGTTCAATCAATTCAGATGAAAACCATGGATTTCAACAGAGTGGAAAAACATAATAGAAATTTAATAATATAAATAGTGCATGAGCTATTGATAAATTCGGAGTTCCACATCCCCTTCTTGTCAGAATTAAAAACACAGAATCAGCCGGAGTGAGGGCAAACCTTTAGTAAATGTAGTTTTCTGCAAGCAGGGATCGAACCCAGATCTTCCCGCTCATGAGATCCGTTGCTTATCCACTAAAACAAAAAGATTGCGGCCGCCAACATTTTTACAACTGGCCCTGGGGAGGGCGCCTACAGACTAGGCTAAAGGCTACTTGCTCTTAAACCTGACAAAAATTATACTAATTACTATTTTCAGATGAAGATTTAACCAAATCAGAAAATTTGAGAGTTTAATCACTTATAAAATGGAAAGAAAATTCATGTTCATGCATCAGATGAATGGATGGTGGTATATATTGTAAAAAGTATTTACATGGTGCCCGATGTGAGGTACGGTAACACAACAGTACTTCCTAGGCCCTAGCCTACAGACAGTTATCACATGTGGAAACGGTCAAAAGAACAGTAAAGGTCTAGCCTAGCTAGGGCTTAGGCCAAGCCATCCATTCACATTCCAGTTCAGTATTGTAACACGCGCCTAAATATA